CACAAAATTTCTATACAAAAAACAATTGGTTCCCATACCAATCGCTTATCAACATATCAAATGTCATTTCATAGATTAATTAAATATATAACAATGAAATTTATGTTATAATTATTCAATCTTCAATCTTCATCAACCAGTTAAGAATTCTGTTCAACTTAAAGTGCCAAAATTAAATAACAAACTTATGAATTGCCTAGCAATAGTATTTTGATAACAGTCAAATTGAACGGTAGTCCTACTTAGATAACGTATCATATCATTTGAGTTTATTTATAAAAACTGTGAAATGCTAAAAGTTTTCTCTTATGACTAAGCGAACCCTTCACACAAGATATAGTTGTCTGGTTTGTTATCGAACCACACAAAACATAGACGGACTTGTGGATAATTCTTGAGTATTGCAATTTACTATAACTATATGATAATGTCATAGAATTCGATAAGGCAAAAATGTATGCTATACAAACAAAAGAGAAAGAGAAATGCCTTAATAACCATACAAAACTATTTACAATTCGTCACAATACTCATAATACATATTTCAAGAGTATAAAAAACACGACTTGTTTAAGCTATTAAAACTTTTATTACACCAGCAACATGTTATCAATAAACTGTTGTATGGGAGTCAGCTGAATAAGCAGCTACTTTCGCTAATGAAATGTCTAAACACGCGCAGTTAGCTGATAGCGAGTCATTTTCAGCTTGATTATCAGTGCAGTAAGCTTGTGGGATCATCATATTGAGGGTACGCCCATGAAAAGCTGCCAAGTGGCAAATGCAGCTTCCCAACCGCAGATTAGCTCACAGCAAGCTGCCACACAAATTTCACTTGAATAAAGAAAAGAGGGAGAGAGCAGCTGCGAGAAGAGGAGAGTGAGAGAGATAGGTGTGAGTAGCAGCAAAGGCGAGCAATTAAATGCGAAAAGAAAAACTTTTCATCGTTGCGTAGAAAAGCAAAGTCACAAAGGGCACCCCCAACCGTCGTTAATGTAAATATATGTATATGTATATGTGTGTGTGTGTGTGGCTATTTGGGTGTGTTAGGGACTTTATGTCTCTTATACGAAGTGAGTTTAAAGCTGGATACACAGCTTCCGTAGTTGTGTATACGCAACAGCATGGATAGTCGTGTGAGGAGTTTTATTAAAGTACAACAAATATTTTTAATGAGTCTGAGTACTCAGACGAGATCTTGGAAAATTTCACCTAAGGAAGTTAAAAACGAATGGAAGACTGTTAAACGAACTTTAAGCATATTATGATTTGGATAGGATCTCTTAAATAGCCTACGACTAAGAGCTCAGCACATACCACACATTGTTGTCCTCGGCATATAGAAAATCTAATACATTATTATAAAAGCTCTGCATGACAGTACGTGCTATGATAATTAGATAAATCCACGCTCACAGATGGAAAAAGGGCGGAAAACTGAGATAAAACCTGGCGTGTGCTCGTAATTTACACATAATATTTTATATAATTAATTTATAAATACATATATTTTTATTTTATATATTTATATATGTTTTTCATATATTTATATATATATATTTTTTTTACATATTTATACTATTTGGATCGAAAAAATTGGCGTTGTTAATTGTAGGGTAAATGTTAGCCGTGCAGCTTTGTTGGGTTTGTCATTAGCTTAACAAAATTGTAAAGTGGCTCCGCATGTAATGTTGCTTTCGCTTTTAATTGTCCATGTGTCCAGCTCCAACGCCCGCGCAGGAGTCATCCACGATTCCGTGCGTATGTGTATGTGTGTGTCTGTACGATGTGTGCGAGTGTTATTAACAACTTTAACATCACTTTGGTGTGCCCTCCAACGTGTTCCAGCTGCTGTTTGCCATGGTTGTTGTGCTTGTTGTTGTTGTTGCTGTTTTTGTTGTTGTTGTTCTTGTTGCTGTTGTTGTTGGCTGCTTGTGTTAATCTTATGGCAAGTGTCCCCCGTGCGTCCCAGTGGCTGCCACCCACCAGCCGCAGTTAACTTAAGTGCCAGCCAAGCACACACACACATACGCACACACAGCATACGCGCACACACATTTTTGCATGATGATGGCTCCATTTTGAACGTTCTGAATTATCAGAAAAAGCAGCCAGGACGTTGACGACGTATTTCCATTGTCCTTTTATACATAAATTTATTAATTGCTACCACTCGCTGTGTTAATTGTGTGCGTTGCGCCACTTCAATTAATAACGTCCTTTTAGTATGGGGAGTCCCTAGTTGTCAGCAAAACATATTATAAACTTTGCCAGAAAGTTGTCCTGCACAGCAAAAATCAATTTTTAAATTACAGCGCAATGAGCTCATGTATGAGGGAGGACCTAGGACACGGGGTCCACTGCTGACCAGTTTTAACGTCGTCAGGCGCAGGTGGTGACTCCCACATGACGGCAACGGCAGCGACAAACAATAAGCCAGAGGTCATACACAGGAGAAAAAAATGGAGAGCATAAATTAAGTTTTGACTACTTAATTTTTGCGGCAGCTGTTCATGAATTTTAAGTAAGAGTCAAATAGGATTCATCTTGAAAAAAGTATGGCATTTAAAGACAAATCTTTTTGTCTTAATTTAAACATAAGAATTTTGAATTATGTAACTATTTTATTTTACTTCTTCGTTAGTTTTAGAGCAAAATATTTTTCATTTATATTTCAAGTCAAGCTGACTTTAATTTAAAAAGAGCTAACTAAGGAAAATCATATTTAAATCAAGGGTTTATAATTTTATCGAAACGATTTTCAGCCACGTGTTAAATAATGATTTCATAGTCTTTTTTTTCGCAGTGTACTTCGTCCTACCTCGTCCTGCCGCCCGGCGTCCTGTCGACTGGTCTTGCTGCCTGAGGCACTGTTATTGAATCGAGTTACATGTCAAAAGAAGCGCCTGTGGCAAAAGTGGGCGCTACAAGCGAGTAAACAACAATAAAGCGAAGACAAACAAAAGCGCAACAAAAGCTGGGCACAAGGAAAAAGGCGAACACGAGGACGAGCCACGGGACATGATGAATGGGACGCGTTGCTAGACAATTTTTCAATTTGGATGGCACCAAAAGTTGGGAATGACCAGTTCTCTGGCACTGCAATCGATCGCTGCAACCTGCAATTTGCCGCCTGACTGAGCCTAACGAGGACAAAAAAAAATCAACAAGCAAAATGGAATGAAATGAAGTTTTTAGGGTCAGTGCATGGTCAAAAATTGCATCTGAAAAAAAAAACACACCCCTCGATGAATTCTCAAACTGCAAGTGCATAGCAAAGACACATTACTTCAGAAGTGACTCCTACAAAGTGACTAACTAGTAGGAGGTGAGTAACAAAACGCTGATTTGTTATTTTGGTGAAAAACAACATTTTAAGGAGTCCGAGTCTGAGCAGATTCTCGTTAGTTTTAAAAACAAACTCATCTAACAATGTGACAATCGCATAGCATTGTAACTAGTTTAACTAAAGAAAGTACTCATGTGTATATGTTTAAAATGTATTTAATCATTAAATCAAGAAGGGAATGTATCTTCCCATTGTCAAGGATAAAATATTATATCTTTGCAGACAAGCATGACATTACTGATTGATATGGATGTTATTTAACTTATTCATTAGGAAGCATAGCGCCGGTCGTAAATGCTTGATTTTGAAATTAAAACGAGAATGCTCTAGTCGGGGGAATGCCTGACTAGGGAATACCCTAAGCCATAAGACCCAGATATTTGCTCAAAAAAACATAATTTGGATATCGATTTTTATCGATTCCTAGGAATCGGTTTAAGTTATCAATGATCGGAATCAAACTCAAACTGCGCGCACTAGGAGGACCCACGTTCCAAGTCCCTGCCTCTTTAAGTATCTGAGGTCGATGTGATCATGCACACGGACAGACGGACGGACTGAAAGGTCTGACTGTCCAGACGAACCAGGCTAGATCGACTCGACTTTTGATGCTTAATAAGAATTTACACAGTTCATGATAGTAACCTCTTTCTGTTACATACATTTGCCATTTACCATCATGCCCTTTATTGTCATGTTTAATGGGTTTAGGGTATAAAAAGTTTTTGATATACACAAGTCTATCATTTATGTAGTAGTGCAGTCAAGTCGACTCTGAAATATGCATGGCATGCAACAAAAAGACGCCTTTACTCGCCTTGTTATTTTTGGTCGCTTGGGGCGTTATAGTTCGCAACGAGTTTAAGCTTAGAACAACTAACAACGTGTCAGCTTGGTTGAAAAATATTTTAACTTGAGAATAATAGCCTGATTCCACTATGCTCAAAATATGTTACATTAACAAACTTCACATTCTGCGATTCCATAAGCAAGTGTAACATATGAACGGCAAAAGCACCGCTTCTTTAAATTAACAGCTGGGGGTTCGATTTGATTTATCTAAGCGCCGCAAAGTTGTCCTTCCGAAAGTCAAATAATACGGCCTCGAAGTGGGGGGCTCTATTTAATGGACTCTTTGCGGGATTTTGCCTTCTTTACATGTTAAAAACTGTGGGATTAGTAAAATGTAATATATAATTTTAAGTTACAGCTTTCCTTTATTGCTATATTAGTTGTTTATGGTAATGATTGTTTTATATTTTTCAAACCATCGATAGGAATTTCTATAAATTATCACAAAATACCCGAATTACTAGGGGCAAATAGCAATATTTTTTGAAAATGTTACAGTTTTTACAAATGTGGAAAATGTTGTTTCTTATGGGAAAACGTACTGGCAAAATGTTACATTCGCAAAAAATTTTGTTGGTTCTTGTTAAAATGTCGATTCTTAATATCGTATAGAAAAGACCTGCCAATAAAAACACTAGTTACTTTAGGATAGAGTATCAGCAATGCAGCAAGAAACATTTTTGGTGAGTACTAAAACATTACTAATATCTTCTATGATAAAACATATAATTGTCAAGCACTTGGAATGAGGCTTAGACACTAAAATGTAGATACATATATTTATTCTTGTTTGGCTTACCGCTTGCCCTTAAATGCCAGCAAATACTTTTTGTTGGCGGGAAAATTGTTGGACTGCACAGAGCCGGTGGCGCCGGCGCGCAAGGGAAACTGTTTGTGGAAGAGCGGAATGCTAACGTCGAAGCCGTGACGCATTTGAAGAACACTCATGCTGGCCTTGGCCAGAATGGCTTCGCCGGCATCAAAGCCAAGCGAGTGCTCGGCATAGTCCGGCCAGGTGCCAGAATACAGATTGAAGATGATGTGATTGCGTCCATTATTCCAATGCGGCAGGCGCGCCAGACGCGATGGCACATTGCGCACATAATCCTCAGAGAGCGAGTCGCGGTCCAGCGTATCGATGCCCAGCACAAAGAGGCAGGCGGCGGCGGGATCGCTGGTATGATACCGCGACTCCTGTATGGCAGTGAGTATCTTCTGATAGTTGGCCGAGCTGGGCGGTGCGGCGCCCAGCGAGTTCAGCGGCTCCGGCGGGTAAACGTAGACCAGAAACTGATCGTAGCATTTGGTAAAATCGAAGCACGTCTCCATGCGACAAGCAGCCGCTGGCGGCTTCCTTTTGGCAACGACAGCAACGGCCGTCGACTCATTAGACAGCGGCTGGCGCTGCTCATAGCCCATAAAGCTGGGGAGTTGTGCGTACGGTTGAACACCCCCATCCTTGGCCGATTCGTGCTGGGCGCGCCGTGGTCGATGCGGCGCCCCTTTCAGCCTATAGCCGCCAAAATAGCAATAGGCCAGAAACGCGCACGAGACAAAGACCAGTATGTAACGCTTTTTAGCCTGCATGCTGACAAGAGTCCAGCTGGGGTGCCGACTGGGTGCTGCGTTTGCTGCTGGGTTTTGTGATGATTTGGTGCTGGATCCGCTAGAAGTTAATTTGGTAAGTCGATTGCTTACGGGTGGGAGGGGTGCAGGCGTGTAAGCAAGTGATGCTTCTTTAGTTCCTCTTGCTTAGTGTAAGCGCATTTTGCTCTGCTTCTTTTTATTTGTTATTGTTGGGTTTGTTACGGTCGCCGCAGCAGCCCCTCTCTCGCTCTCGCTCTGTCTCTCTTTCTCTGGTATTGTTGTTGTTGTTGCTGTTGGCTGCGACGTCTTTGCGCGCAACTTTGCCATACACATTTCACTTGCATGAACTGAACACACATACATATATTAATCGTTTGACGCCACTTTTTAGTTACTTTGATTCAATTTTGTATATTATATTTAAGCATTTTTCTCTACGTATATTTTTCATTAGCTGGCGCGACGAGTTCGGCGTCGACAGCGGCAGCGACGACCACGACGACGACTTGGCAGCTAGCATATCTCATGCTCTCACGCATTCGCGCGGCGCGTGCAGCTGTATTGCACAATTTCAACCACTTTACCACTTAAACTAATAATAAATATAATTAATTTGTTTTATAAACAATGCGAACGCGACACAACGCAACACGAATCATTTTCAGCAGCGGAGAGCCACTGACTGAGAGAGCGTGTGTGAGAGCGTTAACCAACTGTCAAAACATTGACAGAGTTGCCAAGCGTTGCCAGAGCCAAGCCAGACGTTAACTTTTAAACAAAATATATTCAACCTTTAAGAATATTAATGAAATACGCAAATGCTGTTTCATTAGCTAATAAAGCCAATATTTTTGGTGCACTATACTCGCATTTTAGCTAAGTTTTTAACACGCTGTATTGCGCTTAGCGCTGCGCGTATTGCACGGCCAAACAATATATCAATTTTTGCCGCGCCGTCTTATGCGCGCTCCACTTGGATGCGTTTTGAAGGCTCGGCGTGTACTGCCATTGACATGTAAGTGTCTTTGGCCAACGAGCCTTGCTTGGAAAGCCATTATTTTAGCTCCTGGAAGGCGAAGACATGCGCACAACGCACGCAACATTGTGCGCGCAATTAGGTGGCAACGCCATGCAGACATACGATCAGCTGTTTGTCTGATTCAACAATTCACGGTGTTTTAGTGTTTGTAGCATGCATGTGCGTTTGGCTGACTGTGTGTGTGCATGTGCATGTAGGCATGTGGGCAATGGAAGGCGCAAAATGTTTTCCCTCGAGCGGCGGCTGTTTGTCAAATGTAATTATACAACTACACAAATGCATCTGCACAATATTAATTGTTTGGTCAAATTGATTGCATTAACAAATACATGATTTAAACTGGATACACAACCATGCACATGCATACACAAACATACATACATACATACATATGCATGTTGAATTTCCCTCTGGAGAGCATTTTTGTTTATTTGCTTAACATTATTTTATGTGTGTTGGACGCACGAAAGTAATTATGTACATAAGCAAATACAAACACGCTGCCCATTGCAGAGACCACCAAAAAACAAAAATTTTTGGACATTGCCTGGCGCATCCGCATCCGTCTCCGGCTCGAGCTCCGGTTGCCCTTTTGGACCGCGCAATTTCCCGTTACAAACGCGTTTAGACTGGAATTTCAATTATGCACAGGAATGCCGTCCATGCGCCCCCGCATCCTACCACCAACCGCAATTATGATGTGCCCCCACATAAGCAAGAACCCCAACAAAATATGCCAGGCAGCTGTTCCGTCACGGCTTCTGCTGCTGTTGCTTCTACTGCTGCCTCTGCCTCTCAGTCTCCCTCTCCCTCTGTCTTTATGGCTTTATAAGTTGCCCTGTTCGGGTTGACTTGCATGCAAATGAAATCAGCGAAGGGCTAATAAAAAATAGATTCTGCAGCACGAGCACTTGAAGCATCCTCTCATCATATAAAGAACTCAGACTAGACGGCTGCCAACTCAAAACAAATTGCAGTTCCCAGCAGCCGCACTCAACTTTTGTGTGTAGAATTTAATTTTGTCGTCACAGCCTGCATGCTGCACTTGCATTTGTTGTTGCTAGAGAGGAGCTACGTGTCAGTGTGTGTGCGTGTGCGTGTGCGTGTGTGTGTCAGTGTGTGAGAGTGGAACAGCAACAGCTGCTTCTAGAGATGTGCCGTGTCAGTTGGTTAAAAAATATCCTCTATATTACCAAAATCTTGGCTTGACTATATATCTTGTTATGATGATAACGAATATAATTTCACAATTACTTTTAATACATTAAAAATTCATGCCTTTTCGAAGTAAATTTATATTCCATTTGAAAAATTAAAATTTCTAAGAGATACATTTATTCACAAAAAAAAATATTAAGATTAGTTATAGAATACAATTTATGCTTACATATATTAATCATAATTTCATTATATACTTATTAAATTAAATAATTTCTATAGATAAAAACAAATATATTCTCAAAACAAGAGCTTTTAATTTGGGTCAATATATGTAAATATATAGTTTCAGACCAATTATAATTTCTCGAAGAAATAGCTTCCAAAATGTGACTTTATGTCGAAGCTCCATTTTTGTGTATGTCACATCATTAAGTTTTTTTTTATTTTTCTTTCATAAACATTTATAGTTTAAAATTTAATGAAAAGAAAATATATACTCCATCAAAAAGAAGTTGTCTTTTTTCTCTAAATAAATTTTAATTTTAATTTCTTTCACAAATATTAATAGTTTACAATTTAACAACAGCAAAATATGATGCCAATAAAAATAAAACTCTGTCATTTCAAAAAACAAAATAAGCCGAGCTCAATTTTATTTTCATTTCTCATTTAGATCGGCTATTTTTTCCATCGCCAGCAGGAGTTGCATGCGACAAGCCGCCCCTTTGCCATGGTCATGCATTTCGTTTCCGTTTCCGGCAGTTCTAATTAAGTGTCAGACTTCCTGGTCGTCATCGTCCACGTCGCCTGCTGCTGCTTGCGTTTCCCTTTTGCATTTTTTAATACCCTGTGTGCATAACAAAAAATACTAAACAGACAGGGTATAAGCTGTTCAAATATATACATATAACAAAAAGCAGGTATTCTTGTCTCATAAAATATAGTTAAGTCCATTCACCTAGCTTCCGAATATATATAAATATATTCTGCTCTGCTCAAATCCTGTTAAGTAAAATCCGGCATATAAATTGTAGGAAGGGTTAGGATTATAGTTTACAGTTAGTTTTAATTACGTATTCTCTGATTGTTAATACATTTTAAGTAAATGCCACTTTTTACTTGAGTTTACTTTTGGTAAATCGATCTCAAATTGTTGAGCTTGAACATAAAAGTATATAGTTTATTTAAAATCTTAATACATACCAGGTCAGAAAAGGAAAACTATATAGATACATGTCTTTAGATGACCTAACTAAGTCTTCATTTTCTTGATTATCTGGTGGACGAGGTAACATCTCGTCGATTGGATTCTTAGCTCAAGTTAGTTTGTGAGTTTAGTTCTTGTGCATTTGTCCGTTTCATGCTAAATTACAGGAAAACGCCCACGAAAGTTAATCAATCATGCACACGCTGGACTTTTTTATATAATCAGAGCATACTTTTAGGTGTTTTGCAGCTGGTGCGGCTGCTGCTGCTGCTGCGAATTCGCGTACTATGGGCAAAACTTTGATGAATTGTGCGCTGTAGCGCTGCATGCTAATGAAGGAATTCGATTTATTCCGGGCCACGCCCACGTAAATCTGTTTTCGGCAACTTTGTGGCTGCTCTTTGGCATAAGGACGCAGCATAATGCTGCGAAGAGCAGCGTGCTCCAAGCTGACTACCCCGCCCCATTACTCAACGGGGCGCAGGGCGCTCAAATAGACCACATAACAATCATGGCTGTTGCTTAAAGTTTGCAGCATCAGTGGCAGCATCGGTGGCAGCATCAGTGGCAGCAGCAGTGGCAACAACAACATAAATTCATTAGTTGCTAGACAACGGATTGCGGCAAAGGAGCAGCCCAGAACTCTGAGTCAGCTCCTTGTGCACTTACTACTCCGCCCACTTTCCCCTGCCCTCTGTTAAATAGCTACAAAATTTATGACGTCACTTTTAGTTGGTTGGACGACTTTATTTCATGGCACACTCGTGGATGCCCCTAAGAAGAAGAAGAAGAAGAAGAAGTAGGAGAACGCCGGAATGCTGTGGCAGATTGGAGTATTCAGCTTATTCTTTGTTTTGCACTTAGAAAAATGCTCTGCTCGGGATGAGGAGAGAGAGGGGCGGCGGTATATGAAACACGCCGGCAGGTCTCCTACGACCTGTCGGCCATCCATTACGCAAAGGTAAAAGATGAATTATACCCTGCTTTTTGGCTGCAATTAAACTCCCCTCGGAATGAAAAGAAAGATAAATTCTGATTGAAACGAGCTGCGAAAAAAATGTCCGGATCTAGCCGAACCCAGCACAAAATAAATATTATAGAGAAGAATTCTAAAGTTAAAAATTATATATTACTAGCGGGTATAACCCGGCCTTGCCCGTGGCATCAATGTTTCCAAAAAGCTTTGAAAATGATTTTGAAACTGATCGGACGGGAATCAAACAACTTTTATGCAAATCGGACAAAACTTAAAATTCACCAAAAAAATCTTTGAAATGCATTTTCCACCGAAGGAGCTTAGATTTAGCGAAAAATGTGAAACACGTCTCAAATGATTTTTATTATAGATCTTTGGAAATAAATTTGAACATAAAACGTCATCCACCAAATCTTCGACACCATTTGCACCAAGGAGGGATGGATTTTTCAAAAAGTGTGAAACACCCCTCCAATGAATTTGAACAAAGATCTTTGAAAATTAGTTTGGGGCCGATTGAATCGTAAACAAAAAACTTTCATACAACCGTTTTCCGCCAATTTACCACTGTTGCGGGTGGAATTTCCCAAATCGCTGAAATACGTATTCATTAAGTTCTTATCTAGAGCTTTGAAAATAAGTTTGAAGCAAATCGGACACAACTTAAAACCTCGCACAAAAAGTCTTTGAGTCGTATTCCACCCGAAAAAATTTGGATTCTGCGAAAAGTGTGAAACACGTCTCAAATGATTTTTCTTATAGATCTTTGGAAATGAATTTGAGCGCGAAACGTCACCCACCAAATCTTTGACCTCAATTTCCACCAAGGAGGAACGGATTTTTCGAAAAGTGTGAAACACCTTTTAAATGAATTTGAACAAAGATCTTTGAAAATAAGTTTGGGGCCGATCAAATCGTAAACAAAAAACTTTCATACAACCGTTTTCCGCCAATTTACCACTGTTGCGGGTGGAATTTCCCAAATCGCTGAAATACGTATTTATTAAGTTCTTATGTAGAGCTTTGAAAATAAGTTTGAAGCAAATCGGACACAACATAAAACTTCGCTCAAAAAATCTTTAAATCGCATTCCCCACGAAAAAGTGTGAATTCTGCGAAAAGTGTGAAACACGTATCAAATGATTTTTCTTATAGATCTTTGGAAATGAATTTGAGCGCGAAACGTCACCCACTAAATCTTTGACCTCAATTTCCACCAAGGAGGAACGGATTTTACGAAAAGTGTGAAACACCCCTCAAATGAATTTGAACAAAGATCTTTGAAAATAAGTTTGAGGCC